AATAGCAAAAAAATTATTTAATCAACTCTCACTTTCTCACGTTTGGGGCAGGGGGATAAATTTTTAGGATTTTTTTGTTCCTAACTTCCAATCACTGGAACTTTTTAAAAAGCATCATTTTTTGACATAAGTATAAATATACAAACATTTAGTTTTTGCTCTATGTTAGCTCAACACTCATTCAGCGTTTAAACGCTATGTACAATAAATATTTATATAAATATAAATTTTCAGCTTAAGACAAATATCTCAAGAAAAAATGGAAAAATTAATTTTTAAATGTACTTTTGAGGTTTAAAGTTTGCAGTTAGGTATTGAATCGAAATTCAAATTATTAGAACCATTCAATAACGAGAAAGCAAGAAAGTAGTCGTCGTAGCTACCTCCTCGAATCCACTCTTCTTTTTAATGGTTCTTTACAAAAACTCTTTGATGTAGCTTCTGAAGCGTTTCCAAGCTTATCACACGCTCCACATTATCTTGAAAAAAGTTTACTTTTGAAATACGTTTCTTCTATTAAGAAATAAATATCCTACCCTGCAATTTATTTTTAAAAACAAGAAAAATATTTTTTTTTTGAGAAATAAATTTCTTTAACTATGGTCAATAGATTTACGACTTTGCTGTGAGTTCTGATGATTTGTTAGCAACTTTAAAAGGTTTCAAAAGTTTTGGAAATCATTGTATCCAAAAAGTGTGTAAATTAAAGATAATGCAATGTAGATAAAATAAGGTTTAGAATGACACTTTTAAAAACTTTTTACACTTAAATTTGACAAGATAAAATCAAAGTGCTACCTCTATTATTTTCATTTTTACTATATTTCTACTGATTTCAAGAATATCTCAATTATTCTTGAATAATATGACCAAAATATCAAAACTAATGATATTAAGTTTAAATTTAAAAATTGACAAAAAAACACACGATACTCAGGATAGAGAAATGTAATCAGCCATTCTAATGATCTCTTTGAGTATTTTGTTGCGCAGAACAAAAACCTTTCTAATTTTAGAGAAATGCAACTTGAATTCCATAAAGTTCAAGACGTCTGAAACAGCTTGATATTTGTTAATTTTCACATAATGGTCTGATTTTTCCCCGCAAGTTCACAATAATCTCTACACTTCTCAAAAGTCTAGATGTAAATGATTTTAAAAATAGAAATTTATACATTTTGCAAAAAGGTATTTTAAAGTGAAGTAGTCTTATCTTTACCTTACCATTTTTTAATGTTTTATGGTTTTATGATACAAATAGTTTGTCAAGACGGCGAGTCTTGACAAACTATTTGTATCTGTATCAAGACGGTTATATGAAACTCTCCGAAATGATGGTCGGAGGATATCAAGAATAATGGTCGGCCAGGAAACTTAGCTAATCTTGTAAAAACCCCTTTTAAATAGCTAGGGATTGAAGTGAGTGAAGTGTATGAGATCAAAAGCATCTAATAAATTTATGATTACTGTGTATTGGGTCTCAATGCTATTGTGTTAAAAAACCACTTTTTTAAAACAGTGGTTTCTAGTTCACACTTGTGGTTGAAGAGACATTTTTATCTAACTTTTTGCTAATTTCTGCAATTTTTCCTAATTCTTTTTCTTCTTCGAATGCTTCAGTAACAAATACTGTAGTATTCATTTGTTTTCTATGGCATATGTGATAATTATTAGCCTTGGCTAAAATATTTGGAAAATTCATGCCACAAATTTGACATCGACTTTTCTCTAAATCCGCAACTGAGACTGATATTAATATAGATTAAATGGATATGGTTTTTAAGATTTATTTAATTAATAACATACGGATGAATATCATAAAAAAGAAGAAACGCGGATTTATGGCAAAATGATAATAAGCTGATAATGAATACTTTGCAAGCATTTCATTAATACTAAATTCGTGATACCTAATATAGTTTAACATTTTAGGAACGTGTTTTAGAAAAATATTTTAGACCATTCATCATCAACTATGCAATGTATATTTATGTTATGTGTGTAGGCGTTTGATGAATCGTGCTTCCTAGAAAAACTTGCTATATAAGTTGATCCAGTCAGGGCCGGCGCGAGTAGGTGTCACGTGGGGGGGGGGGGGTGCCATTACAGCTTTTGCCGAAAAAAAAAAAAAAAAGGTCATCGATTTCCAAAATTTGCCGACTGCCATTACGACATTTTCTGACTGTCTAACCTATATCGAAAGGGTCGACATTTGCCGACTAACTAGTCTAAAAAGGTCCGATTTGCCGGCTAAGGGTCAAGGGTCCAAGGCAATTTTTGTGAACCCTGATTGTGATGAACACATAGAATTGTCGTTCTGTAATGCTAGTAAAATTTTTTTTGGTATTTTTGCATAAGAAACTTTTAAATACTTAAAAACGACACACTCTTTTACAACGCTACTATTTTATCTAATTTTTGATACTGCCCATTATTTTGAATGTTTTTTATGTTGAACATTCTTTTTAATAACTTCTTAAAAAAAAACCTTTATTAAAGAGTAGTTTAAAATTTCTAATAAAAGATGTATTTAAGGCTATAATAATTTAATAGTATTTAAGTCTATTAATAATTAATAAAAAACCTGCAATTAAAAATTTACTTTATGAAATTTGATGTAGCAAAATATTACTGCTACCTCATAAAGTCTCAAAGTGCAATTGTATTAACATAAGTGTGATTGTATTAACAGCGTATTTTATAGACCAAACCTAGCGTATTTCAAAAAACTTATTAAAAAATGCCAAAACTATAAATGCTTTTGTTAAATTTGTCTTTTTTAAAGTCTTTTTATTTGGACTTTCTTGTTTATTGAAACTTTGTTTCTTGGTTTATAATTATTTTAAATTTAATGTAAATACAAACGTTGTAATTTAGATCTTGTACAGGCTTACCTTTTTGTTTACAAGCTTTTTCAGCAATTTTTTTATTTATATAGGATATTTGTGCTCGCCATTAAGATATATGTGTTGATTTTAATTAGTTTACAAAAAGTAAGTTTTAAATTATCAAATGTAAAAATAAGTTTTTAAAAAAAATTAAATTTTTCAGTATTCTGTATTGAGCATAATAGGCCGTTTTTTACATACTGCAGCAGTTTCTAGCTTAATTAGCAGATTAAATTAGCGTTGTGTAATCTAGACTAATAAGTGTACATTGTTCTATAACAAGCCTGATTGCAACCAAACCGAGCTGGGTATTTTTATTTTTCTTATACACCCTGCCAACCTTTATTTACTAAATTAAATATACTAAATATCTACTTAATAAATATTTATCATCTTCTAATTTTTATGTTCACAATTTATAAAAGTATTATTCCAAAAACTTTTATTCTCTTATTCAAAACTAATCCGAATAAATACTTAAAAAGATATTCAAATAACACTTATATACAATCTAAAAGTTATTTTGCGCCCACTGAGTTCTCAATTTCAATTAGAGGACCAAAAGCATGGAATAAAATACTCACTTCTAAACTTAAAAGTTTAAAACTTAAACTTTTAAGTTTAGATGTTAAACTTTTTTTTTATTCCTTTGTGTTATTTCAAACAGATTTTTCTCAAAAAATCTCTTAATGACAATTATCACAGATCTCTGCATTGATGCTGAGACCAGAGGACACTGAGACCAGAGTGGAGTTCAGTAAAACTAGCATACAATTGTTAGGGATTATTTGACATGGGTGTAACAGTAAGTGCAGTGATTTGTTGCAGTATATAATGAGTATTGTCGAAAGTTGTAAACTGTTTTAAGTTTTTATTGTTGTACATATGATGTATACAGTCATTGTAGAGTATGTGTGCATTCATATTGTAGTGTCATTAGTATGAGGAAATAGAACAAAATTAATTAAGATTTATTTAAACTGATTCTAAACGTTAATTAAACGTGGATTCTAGTAGTTCTAAGGTATATATAAACAGTTACAATTAAGAAATTTAATATATTCAGATAAAACAATACCATTATAGCAACAATTTCTGGTATATACATAACTCGAGACAAATAGCATTAATAATCTTAAATCATTTGAAGAATTTTACACGAACAAGTAAAGGTATAAAATACCAAATGTGTTTTATAATTTGTATAGATAACAAGATTAGTTACTAAAGGTTATATCTACCCAGCAGGCACAGAACGTCCGTTTGACGTCTTAGGAACGTCCTACGGACTAGCGACGTCCATAAGACTTCGTATGGACATCCCACGGATTTCTGTGCCCGCTTGGTACTTAATCTTATTAATAACTTAAGTGTGCATATGTCACTTGACTGTAATGTTATTACCAGTATCCGAGGTGAAGTTTAATTATTCGTTCTATAAAACAATTAGTATAAAACCTCTAATCATTTAACAAAGTGGATCTGCAGTATGGCTGATTTTGTGGGTGGTTTGCAGTAATTATTTAACAATGAAGAGATTGTATTTTAGGAATAATAGTTGAGGAAAATTAACAAAAATTATAAAAAAGAAAAGTAAAGTGTTATTTCAGGATGTGAGGTGTATGTGTGTATCAGCGTATGTTTGTTAATGTTGTGTTTTCTATTTTTTTGTAAGTTATGTTAGGTAAAGAAATTCACCTAGAGTATATCTGCTCGTCACGAATATAGTAATTGCTCCGCAGTCACATGGAAATTAAATACGTTTTTTAAATGCAACGCACTTTAGTGAAACTGCACCGAACAGTAAATGCCTTAGAGATGCATCATTAGTAAAAAAGAGTGTAGCAGAGTGAGAAAAAGGTACAAAACGACAAACTTCCAGGGGAAAACAAAGAGCCTTTAAGGAGAAAAATACTAAAAATTAATCATAATAAAATGCAATAAATATAAACAAGATTAATAAACAATCGAAGATGATTAAAGTTATTAATTGATGTGCTAATGAAAAGTTGTTTGCGTAGAGCGTAAATGATTAAATAGAGCATAGAAAGTGTAAATGGTGGAGCAGAATTATTCGTTTTAACTTATTTTTATTTATTTTTTTTTCTTCAGCATAACAGCATTTTGAAATTTATATTCAGACAAACATCGCATAGAAAATAAACTTTTTTAATATCAGCGGCTGTGAGATCGATATTTGGACAAGCAAACAAGTGACTAAAACGTAAGCTATTTATTTCATCAATTATTTTTATGGTTTTCGCTTTAAGTAGTATTAATTTTGTCAATTTAAAGCCCAAAAACAACTCCAGAGTCATTTTAAGTTTATAATATTTATATTAGTATATCTTACCGCCAATCTGTGATTGGTTACTTGTAAATACTTTGTAGTTGTAAGATAAACATGTAAAAAAATAAATAATAATAAATAAGAAAAAAATAAAAACACTGGCGGGGCGAGAAGAAAATATTATGTTATCTACTTATAGTTTGACGTCAAGGTCATTGGAGACCATCACAATAGGGTCTCGTTCAACAACAATCTTTTCAAGTGGACAACACATGCAGTCTACGTTGGCCATTGGTGATAAACCAATGGCCAACGTAGACTGCATGTGTTGTCCACTTGAAAAGATTGTTGTTAAACGAGACCCTATTGTGATGGTCTCCATTGACCTTGACGTCAAACTATAAGTAGAGTCAGCCGTATCAATAGCGAATAAAATGCTAGGACAACTCAAAAAAACATTTTTCATTCGCAGTTTTAATTTATGGCACACACTGTATCTTATTTACATATTATTGGTCGCCGCCTTTAAAGTCCGATATTGCTGCTCTCGAGCAACAAAAATAAAATCATCTATTAAACATCTGTCCAATATAAAATTGACCCCAATCGCTCGGACTAAAAACACTTAAAGGTATTCCGTAAAAGAGCAGCCCTTATCGAGCAATCATATAAAGTTGTTGTCCATGGAATACGCTTTCCCAAGCAGTAGTGAACGCTCCATCAATCAATGCTTTCAAAGACAAAGTAATTTTTAGAAACGCAATTGCTATTTGCCTGTGGTTTCTAAGTTTTTTTATTCGTCTGCATAGAGGGGCCTGGTATAGCACTTTTACATCAAACTATAAATAGTTTTATTGTATTTATTTAATGTTTTTTTTTATCACTGAATGAAAGAAAAAATACATATATAAATGATCATCTCTTATCGTTCAATTAGGAAGAGTAATATTTCGGAAACTCTTTTTTTTTGAAGGAAAAGTATAAGGGGAACTTTTCGAAACTCTTTTTTTTTTTCGAAAATAAAATTGGCCTTTAAAAATTCAATTTAATTTTTGAATTTAATCTAGCTAATCAAAATTACTTTTTTTTTTCCGAAATTATTTTCATTTTTAAAAAATCAATTTATTTTTCAAAACTAATTTGACTATTCAAAAATTTTTGAAAGTTTTTCATCGATTTTGAAATATTTTTTTTTTCATCCATAACGTTTAACACAAACCATTTTGAAAATTGTATTCTCGAAAAGGAACCCTAAAAACAATCCTAAATAGCTTTTTAGAACTCTAGTGAAAAATCTAAATGTACTGCTTAGTTATTATTTTATAAGGTTCAGAGTAAAAAGGTCTCGTACTTTTTTCATTTACTTTATAAATTTAAACCTTTAATCAGTATATTATTGTTTTTAAGATAGTAATAATATAAACATCCCAGCAAACTTGCTTTAGTGAATTTGCAGTGGACCTATAAAGAAATTTTTTAGCGGCTGATTGCAGTTTTGATTATCGGTTACTTAGTGAACCATTAGTGGCAGCCGCTATAAATAGCAAACCAATAATTTTCCGATATTTTAATTGTCCACTAAAATAATCGACAGCGGTCCGCTACAGCATGTTTGCTTGGATAGGTTATATATAATTCTTTAGTTTATTTAATGTATATCCATATATTAAATAAAAAATAGAATTGCTCTTATTTCAAAACCCTATAAGAGTTTTGACAATCTTGAGTAGATTGTATCATGGCCTACTTAAATTACACGGCCTGGTTTGTTGCATTATCCGTAAAAAATTAAGAGGCCAGTTTTTTTACGGCTCAAGTATAAAAACTTTATTTTCGCTATGGTTATGAGTCATGTTTGCACTATAATTGGTTTATTCTTGTTTTATTAAAATGGTTTAATAGTAGTTAGATTTTTTTTGAGTACTTACACTATTTTGTGCTGGAATTTTTGTTAACTGATCGCCTGTTTCAGTTTATTCTAATAACACAGAATACTGAAATAGGCTTTCAGATAGCTCTATCAACACATACCAACATGCTACTAAAAATAACTTTACATGTTGCTAAGATTGCCTAAAACTCTTCATTGAAAAAAAAATCAAAGGTTTGTAGTTTTGTATTTTTTATAATTGAAAATAAAAGAAGAAATACCTTTTTACTAGGAATATTTATTTTGTCTTTGCCTTTTTTGTAATTTTGTTACTTGATCTTAACTCAATGAATATGTAACTTCTTTTTACAAATTGTTATAAAATATTATTAACAATACGAGATCTATATTTGATTCCCCACTTTTTTTTGCTTTTCATTAGTAAAATTGTCATTGCTACAACAAATTTATAAAATTTGTTTTGCAAATTTTTAATTAAAAAAAAATGACTGCAATTTTTTATTTGAATAAGAGAAATAACATAAAATACTAAACAGAAGACAAATAAATTTAGACAGGTTGAATTCCATATATAGGTTTTTCTCTGTATAAAGTAACATTAATTAACCATAAATTTAACATCAAAATCTTTTTGTTAATTTTTACCATTATTCCTTGCTTTAGTATATAAATTTGTGCTATTTTTAAAAAGCTGACACTAGTAATTATGTAGACAACTAAGCTAATTGTTGCATAATATTTTTTAATGATTTTCAAAATTCTGATAAAATATTTTTTGGGAAAATCCGCAAAAAATCTTTTTACTAATGCATGTTTCTAATTATACTTACTTTTTTTACTAATGCATGTTTTGAATTATACTTACTAAAACCTAGCTCCAAAAGATTACTTTGTAAATTAGAACTAAGAACAAAGCCTTTTTCAAAAAAAATCATTCATAAGAGATACAGTTGCTTGTAGTGTTGTTATAATAGCACAAGAAGTTTAATGTAACACAAGAAGGTTAATGTAAAGTATTTACCAAATTTTATTTTGATTAAACTTTAGTACTATTTGCAATTTCTCTATTGGGTTTATTATCACCTTTTAAAGCAGCGTTGCTTGGATAAATTAAGTTTCTGCTTTGAATTAAGTATGATAAATAACTTATAAAATAATGATTAAAAGTGTGCTGCATTATTTCTTTCAGGAAAATAACTCTAAATTACAGCTGCAGTTGTTTCATCAAACATTATCAATGTTGACAACTTGTTTATTGTTTTCAAAATATGTGACTTGATAATTAATTTTACTTGCCTGTTTATGATTAATCTTTTAATAAACTTTAAGAAATATATTCCCTGCCATGTAACTAGCAGTAACTTTACTTTAATTTAACTTTACTCTCTGGAAAAATCAAATGAAAAAGAGTAATTTTTTTATTTTTTTTTTGCGTTTAATAAGTTTTTCTTACATTTTTTATAAAACGAAGTGTATCAAATAATAATTATGTTTTATACACTCCTTTTTTAAACTGAATAATAAACTAATAATTTTCCATCATCAATATACGCTTTAAGTAACTATAAAAATGCATTAACATTGGTAGAATGGTTATCTGTCACAACAGCCCTTATCTTAAAATCAGATTGGTGCATTGAGGAAATACACTCATCAGTTTCAAACATAAACTTGTTATGTAAACTTTTGAGGATTTTAAAATAAAAACAAAAGCAACTTTATAAAGATTATTTTCTCAATCTTCATCAAATTGTTTACAACTTTGATATTGAGCAGCTTTTTGGAAGTACATCTTAACCACAAGAAGCAGATAATCACTTAACAACAAGTTTTTATCAATAATATTTCTAATATAATATAGTTTTTTGATATGTAATTTTCACCACTGCGAAACCATGTTAATAAAGAAATATGAAAATATGAAATATGATAAGCATTCATTAGGCAATGAAAAATTAAGAATTTTATTAACAGATATTGACTCCAAAACAGTTGGTATGCCTGATATTTCTTGGCCTGTTTTGTTGCATTTTAGTTGCTGTATGTATGAAACATGCAGCATAGTAGAGTATTTACATTTCAAAACATTATTTTGCAGTGTAAATATTTCAAAGAAAAATCGATTTTTTATATCTAATAACTGCAGTTGTAATAAATACAAAAGTATAAACCTTTAAAATTATTTCTAATGGAGAGTTGTGGGTAGTTTTAGCAACATGTAAGGTTATTTTTAGTAGCATGTTGGTATGTGTTGATATAGCTATCTAAAAGCTTATTTCAGTATTCTGTGTAATTGGAATAAACTGAAGCAGGCAATCAGTTAACAAAAATTCCAGTAAAAAATAATGTAAGTACTTAAATAAAATCTAACTGTTAACCATTTTAATAAAATAAGAATAAAGCAATTATAGTGCAAACAAGACTCATAACCATAGCGAAAATTAAGTTTTTATACTTGACCCGTAAAAAAACTTGCCTCTAAATTTTTTACGGAAAATGCAACAAATCAGGCCGTGTAATTTAAGGAGGCCATAATTGTATTATCTTGATGCTGTCATATTATGTGGCTTGAGTAGATTATATTAATGTCATATTATGTGGCATATTTTTTTTTACAACCTCTTATTAGAAACTTAAACAAATAATTTAGAATATAAAAAAGTTAGAATATAAAAGAATTAAGTTTGAAAAATTAAATTGTTTAAGTGACATCATCCTAAATAATTATTTCGGAATTACATTATTTATATGATCATTTAATTTAGCATTATAAATAATACTTTTATTGTACATTAATTTTTAATGCAATAGTAGAAAAATTTAGAACTCCTTGTTGTATAATTTCATCAAAAAAATTTTCTGCGGTTTCTATTTATTTGTTGTATTTCTGTTTTTTGTTTTTTTGTATTTCCTCGTTTGTTTGTTTGTTTCTTTTCATTTTTCAGGTAAAAAAAATGGATACTTGTTGATATTTGTTATAACTCTAATTCCATATACAAAATCGGGACTATATGGAAAACGTTAATACGAAACACATTCCATCATAGCTGATATTATTATCAGATACTTTCTTTTTTCGGTTGTATATAATACCAGTTTAAATACCTTATGTTAACGTTAATAAAGGTTGGCCCGAAAATCAATTGACTATTTAAAATATAAATAACTTTTTTATTGTTTCTTAGGTCACAATTATTACTTTATAAACAGAAAACACACTACTTGGAACTTTGAAAAAAACATCCTTTAAATTCTCCATTTTGTTTTTCATACTGACGTGTTCTTTCTCGGGAGTGATCCATCACCTGTTGTAATGTTTTTTTGTTTTATATTTTAAATTTCTTCACAAATGTTGGCTTTAAATTGCAAGATAATTTTAGGCTTATTGTGGTATATACTACTTTTTAAATCTATAAACAATAGTCTGGAGCTGTTAAACCAGGTTAGTTTGACAACAAGTAGATTTCAGAATTTAGTGAAATTATTATTTTTTCAAAAATTTGGTTTTTTTCTCTGATGTGTCTTAGACTCCAGGACGCAAAAAATTCTCGAGCAAAATTTGATATTTTTTACCATTGACAGTTAGTGTGTTTTCTGTAGCATTTTTAAAGAAATAAAGTCTGAGAACCCTTTCCGCATGAACACCACACCAAACTTGTACAAGATTTAGACGACGTTGGTTGACTACTCTTGAGTTTTCTGTAGCCTATAATTGCATATTTTGTTTGTTATCATAACCATTTAGATGGAAGTGGGCCTCATTGTCCATTATATAATTGTTAATAACGTCAGGTTCTTGCCTTGCTACTTCTTGGAAATGGATAACTTACACTTATTTTTCCCAATAATCTGCTGGAACAGTTCCTGCACTATCTGCATCTTATACGTAACAAGTTTCAAAATTCTTTGAATCTTTTAGAGGAAAGTTCGTAATATTCCAAGGTGTTGGAACCGTCTTTGAGGTGATAGTGAAAGCTCTTCTTGAACGTTTTCTTGTACACGCTGAATATTGTCCTAAACCCTCCTTGTGGGAGATTAATCACAGCTTCGTGAATTTGAAACCGTCGGATTAAGTTGACTATCTTTTGTTTACATGGTGGCGTTTTAACTCAAAAACTATGAATATGCTCTTTGCGTTAGCACAGTTGATCATCTATTTTTCAAATTCGATTGTTTTAACACATTCCCAGCGGGCACACAACGTTGTATTAGCGTTGTATTTACGTTAGATTTTATTTTAGTACAACGTTGCCGGTTCGGCAAAATGGAAAGGTTTTGTAACGTAAAATTCTTACGTTAGATTTACGTTAGATATTAACGTTATATTAACGTAAAAATCTAAAGTTAAATTAACGTTATACTAATGTGAATATAAGTTGAAAAAATTGGCGTTTTACATCAACGTGAAATATTGATTGTATTTGTGTAATATTTAATATTAATATAGCTATACAGTTATATTTATACAACCCTGAGCCGAAGCCGTTTATAAGCTGTTTCGTGTCATGGTTATTATAAGAATATAACCGTATAGTTAGATTAACATTAAATGTTTAACACAATTACAATCAGTATTCAAAGTTTATATAAGGGTTTTTAACCCCTTACAAAGGGTTAAAAAATAGTTTCGGGGATATTCAGACTAAAAATACAATAAATGTTTTTAAAGAGTTTTTTTAAAGATGTATTATAAATTTTTTTGTATTATAAATTCACAAAAAACTCAAAAATAAATAATTGTTTAAAAATCACTTGCTTCCTCAATAAATTTTTTGTTACCATTAACAAATGGAGAGACCCTTAAAATGCTTCCTATTTGACTTCTAAGACTCGTGCATTAGCTGAATGACTTCTAAAATACAATATGGGATACTGTAAACGGGATGACAGTTAAAAATATATTTTATTTACAACTGACTATTTGTTTGATTTTTAACGCTAACCTTCAAGGTTCAAGACTAATATATATACTAATGTATACTGTATCTAAGAATACAAAACATATGTAAGGAAGAATAGAAAAACCAATATTGAGCTATTATTAACGTACCAATTATTGCTTTACACAACTTTTTATTTTCAAATGATACCTTCTTCATATCACCACGAATTTTGCTTTTCATATTCAACTTGGCAATAACATGATGTTCCATAATTCTATAAAAACGTAATAACAAATGATAAATGGAAAATAACAACTTTGTTATATTACATTAAGCGATCCAGCGAACTTACTTAAATAATTGTAAATACACTTTAGAGTAATAATTCACAAAGTATAATTTAGAAAGGTTCTTTATTTTTTAATTTATTTTTATATTCAAAGTTTCGACATCGAATTAAAGCTGAAAACTGTAGGGGAGAACCTAAATGAATGGGGCAATTTTTGTAAAATACATTTTAAAAGTTGATAAAGTTGTTTAGTTTATACATTGAAAATTATTTGATAACCATTTACTCTCACACAATGTGCGAGTTAATGGTTGAATTTACAAAAAACTCAAAATGAAGTTAAACTTAACTTCTTGCACCAAAACAAAAAAAGTGTTTCCACCAGAAAGAAATGTGCTATTAGTTTCCATTAATGCAACATTTTTAATGTTATGTTTGGCCCATCATATTTAGACCATGATAGGAATAATGATTTGGTCTGTTAAATTGTTGTGTTTAACATTTCTTACAACAGGAGTTCGGATATCTAACTAACCTTAGATGCTTGTATGTAAATTTGATTTTTTCCCATTCAATAAGCGTTAATATTCTCCCCAAACATTAATATTAAAATTGTTTGTTTTTCTAAATTACTTTCTTTGGGCTAGATTTTTCTATAAAATTTACTCACAATTTAAACAGTTTGATCATTCAGAGTTGAACAAAAATACATACCTGACCATAACATGTATTTTCTTTAACATTTTTCCACCTGCTTTTATGAGGAGACAAAGCTAAAACATAAATAAAAATTTAGAGAAAAGTTCACGTTGGAATAAGACAGGATTAGATTTATTTGGTTATTTTTCACAGTTGATTGATTATTTTTCACAATTATTATTTTGTTGCTATAAAAGCAACAAAATAATAATTGTTAAACCAAATATAAGACAAAATATTTTAACAAAAATACAAGGCTGTAAAAAACTCTACAGAATGTAAATGGCTATCAGGTCACTAAGATAATTCTCGATTTATAAGTAGGAATTTACCTTTTACACTATATTGCGGTATAATGTGAGAGTGATTTAAATAGGCTCATCAAGAAAACGATGATCTTAAATAGCATTCTATTAAACAGACAAACTTTAAAAATAGAAATATGAATATAAAAATAAATATAAATTACCAATTTACTGTACTCCCTGTTGTCTTTTAACGTGGTTTCAAGCTCATAAAATTCTTCAAGGGAATTTATCTTTTTGAAAATGGTTACGCTTACACTTTCTGATATTTTATTGGCACACTAGTAACACTTTTTCTCAAGAAGTAATTGAAGTTATATGCAAAAAATCATATTAAAAATCATCAAAATTATTTGGCTTGTTATCACTAACAAATAATGCTAAAGTAAATAGTGTCACTTTGTCAAACATACATAATATAGGCCTGTGTGTTTGATGACTTTAATAAGGGAATGCCATATTCATTGACAACTAAAGAAATTGTATTTGACTCAAATCTATAATGCTGGTTGATTGCTAAAGTTCTTGATTTGTCATTTGAAATACCAAGGTAAACATATTTACCCCCAAATTCTAACTTGCTTGGAATATTCCTAGGAGTATTTAAAATTTTCCTTGTACATTTTGGTTAATCAACATTATAACTATACTGGTGTAAATGGTTAACAATTCGTCACTTGCATTTCTAGTTATTCTGTGTTTTAAAATCCATTTTGCAATCTCTGTAACAAGTACTCCATTATGAAGATCTTCATTATCGTCACTCACAGGAACCTCAGAGTCTAGATTAAAACTCTCAGTTCCAGAAGTATATTTACAATCAGAGACAAGATAAAAGTCACTATAGTTCTTAATTTCAATGTTTTTGAAATCAATTCAACTCTCAACTCTATTAATATTAGATTTGACATGTGATGTGAGTCAGTTTCTTCATTTACAAGTACATTGTTTAAGGCTTGATTACTTTGGCGCCATTCCCTCAAGTATTGATTTTTCTCTTGTTTATTTATTTTTATTATTCTGAAATAAACATAAATTTTAGTAGTTTTAACAATAACAAGATAAAAATGAAAACTAAATACAATGAAAAATATGAAGAAAAAGAAGAAAAAATAATTTTTATAATAAAAAAACAGGATAAAACTTATTTAGAAAAGTTAATATTCTTATATTTCCTAAACTTTAAAGAGTTAATATTCTTATCCTCTCATCAAACTATATTTGTTGTATGTAAGTTTTTTTCTCGCTAGCTCATTTATCTCATGTAGTTAAATGTTTGTATATAATTGTCATAATTAAAATCATACAGTTGAATGTTTCTATTATAATTAAAATCTTAAAGTTAAAAGTTTTATTAAATAGTAATAATTAATAGTCGTAATTGTGCTAGAAAATAAGCTGTAAACAATTTTTGGAAAAGCAGTAAGAGCATTTACTAGCCTTTATTAGCTATGGTTATTTAGACTAAAATAAAAAGTAGCTTATAATAAAATCTGAAAATAAAAATTAACTAAATAAATATACAAATTAATACTAAAAATGTGATTATACAAGAAGATTACAGGTATAGTATATATTATAAATATATAAAAAGAACTGCTTTACAATTACTTGCATTCCTATACATATTGTTTGACATTTATTTACCAATGGAGAGGCCTTTTCAATATTTGCAATATGATCATTTACTTGAGTTTTTGTTGAAGACTCTCTATGCTTTCTATAAATTAAAATTTTAAAATACATTTTATTTTACTTACTTTGCAATTTGATTTTTTTTTTAAACACTTAATGCATAGCAGATGCTTGGTGAAGACATTTGAAAAATTAACATTCCGGTTTCAAATTAATAATATACTTATGTTGTTTGTCAAAATATAAGCAAAGCAACCAGTTTATTGAAATTCATTTCCGCAGTTAATTTGATTTAAAATATTATACTATATTGCTCAGAGTGAATAACTATCAGATTCAAAGGGTTGCCATGGCAGCTTTATTTGCATGAGCATTAGGTTCTAACCGACTTGATATTCGTTTGTAAAATATTCGACATATTAATTCTTATTAATATTAAAAAATCTAAACTTAACTATAAATTTTGGTTCTGTTAAAGCAATATAAAATAGTTGCACAACCCTGCACAACCCACAAGCCTAAAATGAGATTAAAAGAAAAAAAATTATAATTATAATTACCCAAATACAAATGTTTCACTCCACCACTGATAATAATATGAAAATAATTTAAAATAAGGTTATTGACTACGAAGTACTTTCAAAAAAGTGTCAAGCTTGCCTGTCATGGCGTAATAAAAAAGGCACAAATGAATACCAAATATGGAACAGCAGCCTTAACTGTTCAATAAACCACAAGGGCTCAGCAGGCTCAATGGAGACACAAGGAGCTATAGCAATTTTTCATCGATCAATTCATCAAAACGGTTTGCGTTATAAAAATTATGTTGGGGATGGTGACAGCAGCTCATTTCTTAAAGTTGTAGAGAGTAAGCCATATGGTGAAGATTTTGTTATTAATAAACTTGAATGTGTTGGTCACATACAAAAAAGACTTGGGAATAGACTACGTTCACTACGACAGAGTATGAAAGGACAAGTTTTACAAGATGGGAAAAAACTTGTTGGAAAAGGGCGCTTAACTGAGTCTGCTATTAACTTACTGCAAAACTACTTTGGCATGTCCATCAGACAAAACTCTGAAGTTTATAGCATGAAAAAAGCCATTTGCAGTTCTGCTTCATTGTAGTGAGTCTGATACTAAAGCTCAAAGACATCTATATTGTCCAAGAACCAATGATAGTTGGTGCAAATGGTACAAACTAAATGAAGTGGAAAGGTTAAATTATGAACCTAAATTATCACTGCCTGCTGCTATTAGAGATATTTTAAAACCAATTTTTATGGAGCTAAGTGCTGATAGTTTATTGATAAAATGTTTGCATGGAATGACCCAGAATGTCAATGAGTCACTTAATGCAATGATTTGGTCTCGATGCCCTAAAAGTCAATATTGCTGTCAAGATATAATTAAAATTGGTGTTTGTTCAGCAATTATTCATTTTAATGATGGTTTTAATGGACTTCATAATGTATTTAAATTTTTAAACATTACTCCTGGAGCTTCATTTTGCATAAATGGCCCAAAACGAGATTTATGTAGAATAAAAAAAGCTAACAAGAAGTCAAGTAGTTTCTGTAAAAAACAAAGAAAAGTTTTAAGAGCTAAAAGAAAGGGTTTTATTGATGAACAGACAAACACAAATGACTGTGAGTCTTATATGACTGGAGCATATTGATTTTTTTATGTGTAATATCATTTTAATGCTTGTTATTTTCTATTTATTTTATTATTTTCGTTTTTTCTCAGTTTTTGATTTTAGCCTATTTTTCCTCACCGTTTCCAGAATAAAATTTCCTAGACTTTACAGTTTGATCTAAAAATTTCCCAAGTTACTCGTTTAGGTTTGATCTACAACCTGAACTAAAATGAAAGTTTTTTACTTTGTATTTTTTGAATTTTTGGTCTTAGAACTAACGTAACTATAGTAAATTTTTGATATAAATGATTTTTTATCTATAAAATTTAAACTACTCAATAAATTTTATTGATTTTAGTTCAAATTGTTCTTCATAGTAAAACAAAACTTTTTGTAAAATTTTATTCAATGAGTAAATATGGTTTAAAAGTTATTAAGGAAACAGTAATTGGGGTATTTCGGGTCCCAACATGGTTTATTAAGCCCGTAAATTTTTTTTTTTTAATTTTTTTAGTTTTTTTTCTTTTTTTATATCTGGGCATCCTATTAAATGCAGTAATAAGTGTTTTAAGGTCAAACGTTAGTGACACAAGTTTGATGGTATAGGACCACCTTAACGTTGTGTCAATGTTAGCTTAACGTAAGAACATTACGTTAAAAAGATTACGTTGACTCAACGTTGAATTAACGTAAAGTAACGTAAAACGCAATTTTAACATAAATACAACGTTAGTACAACGTTAGGTGCCTGCTGGGTTAATAGTTTAGTTTAGTTTATTTCGCCGTTAAAAATATTAACAAAGTACAACAATATAAAAAGTACAATTGGCTGGAGCAAGAAGAAGGCATTAAATAGCCTTATCACCGAGCCCCAATAGTAACGCAAATAAATATCCGTAATACACAATAATCCGTAATATGTAAGCAAAAGTATTTAAAAAAAGACAATTTAAAATGTTAAGAAACAAAGTTAAAAAGAAAAAAAAAAGTATTAAAATAATTGAAGATAAATTAAAAAAATAAAAAGAAATGATTAAAATATAGTAATAAAAATGACAAAAATTTTATGTTTTTAGTTATAAATTGGTTGTGATTCGACATATATATTTGTATAAATTATTTTCTTTCAAAATAATTCAAAATTCAAATAAAAATTCTGTTCCAATATTATAAAATATATCAAGAAAATTGTAGGTAACTTTAAGAGAATATATATATTCAATGAAAGTATGATAAAGACATTGAAATTCTTAGTACAGTTAAATGGTCTAGATTTTTAAATTTATCGTGCTAATTTAGTTTAATAAATTTTAAAGCTTTAAAAGTGACATAGAAGATCTGCTATATTATAATCCGTAAGTACTAAATAACACAGCCGGCACAACTCAGAAAATAGTTACGCTTGGTTCCTGTTGCGTTTTTAAAACCTTCTAAAACAAAAAGAATAACACGTATGGTTTTTATTCCGTGAAATTAACTATTACTATTTACCATAAATACCAGTGAAAGTATTAATGGTTTCACCGTTATGGAAACGTAGTATTATATTTTAATAACTTTCCGTAAGGAATGTGAAACCACTGATAAAAACATACAACATTTAAATTTGACTTTAAAACCTCAAAAAACACGTGTTAAGCTCTAGTAAAACTGCCCGTAATAAACACGTGCTTTTGGTTTACGCCTGGATCGTGAAAAACACGTGCCTATATAGGTTTTATTTCCGAAAAAGAAACTAGATGTGCCGATAGGGAATTTAGATTTGAATTGCGGAGGTGCTTTTTATTTAATATTAACAATATGCTGAAAGTTTTTCCACAAAATTGGACCCCTGTACTGAATAGAATAAGAACATAACTTTAGATTATACTTTTGAGCTACAAAGTTATTTTCTGAGAACTTGGTGGGGTATTTATGGCTTACTTCTCTAAAATAAGGATAGAATATCGCTGGAGACAGCCCATGTTTTATTTGATACATGAACTGTATGACGAGGAATATGCTAATTTTAAACACATTTAATGCATTGAGTTTTAAAAAGTTATTTAATTTTTATTCAGTTACTATGGTTTTTATTATTAATATAAAAAAAATATCAAACCAAAATAAGATTTTTTTTGTTGTTGTTGTTGCTATTTGATTTTGATTTTAATTATTAACTTTTTTAAAAAACGTTTGTTTATATTTTAGCAAGGATTTTTAAGCAGTTTTTTAAGGAGTTTTTTCAAAAGCTTTTTGTTCTAATGTTCTATTATTACATAAGTAGACTGCATGTTTTAAACAAATATTTGCCAAATCTATTTTACATTTTTTTTCGCGGAAGTAGGCATTATTTTAACAGTAAAAAAAAATTAGGGAAAAATTGTTTAAAAAATGGCTTTTACTTAACAAGAAATAATGGAAAAAACTATTCGACACGTAAAAGAAATGGAAACATTATCTAAAGAGCAAGAAAAAGTATTTGTAGACTTTAAAAATTTTGTAGACTTAATTTAAAAATACCTAATGCACGTTTAGGTAATTCGAAATAAAATTATGGGACAGTGATAAAAAAAATTAACTTATTTAAAAAAAAAAGCGAAGTAAACGAAGGCTTCTTGCACGAGACAACAAGCATTCATAAGAACAAAAAGAAAAGTTAGTCGATTAAACGGAAAAAGATATTATCATCAGGTAAAAAAAATTATATTAAAAAGTATTCATAGTTATTCCAAGTGCTATTACTAAAAAACTAACCATTCTTAAAATTGATTTTAAATTTTGAATATTTTTATAATAGAAACGGCTAACCAAAGACGCGTTAATAGATAGACGTTTAACGCATTGTTTAAAAGCAAAGATATCCGCGCCTTCATTAGATACAATTAAAAATAGCAAAGCAATAGGAAACAGCTGCGTCACCTGGATATTGTTTGACTATACATCAAAATTTGATTATGGATGGAAATTATTTGATTAATGTGTAATCTATCCAATTTAAAAGCACACTTTATTATGTAAAGTATTTTAAGTAAAATATAGAATATATATTTATATATTTATTTAAATAATATTTTATTATATTAGTTAGAGATAAGATTTTATATCAATATTTAACTAACTTTTAATATATTAATTAAAAACTAGATTAAATTATTATGTATTGTGAATAACATATTTTACTAAATTGTTAAAACATTATATATATTCACTAACTCTTGCATAACTCCTGTAAAACAAAAAACTCTATGACAAAAAGCAATTATATAATTATTCTAGAACTCTACTTGTAAAAAACTTCAAATACCTAAAAATATCAAAACAAAGCTGTGAGACAAAAAAAAAAAAAGATTTGATTTCCGTCAAAATGAGAAATTCAAATTTTAAAGAGAAATCTAAATGTAGGGAATAGTGATTGTAAACAATCTCTAGTTCAATCTATAAAGGATCTATAATATGATCTACAACGCGTAGAAAATTCGTTTTACTTTATAATATTTATATTAGTATATTACATATTGGATTTTTATAAAAATAATATTTTTGAGGTCAATGTGTTTTTACATATAAGTAATTATTAAACAAAGCTTACATACACTGGCGCTGAAAGGGGAGAGGGCGATAGGAGAAGCTCGCCCCAACGGGTACCAAATAAAAAGAAGGTACCTACTAAAATTCATTTACTGATAATATAAGAAAATAGGGGCATCAAAGAAAGGCAGCTACCTCAGGCGGCGTAAAGGCTCGAGGCGCTCCTGCTTGTATATCAAATAAAACATTTTTATACGCATGAGGTATTCTTTACTACATAAAGTTCGTTTATATTTGTTAGCAAACCAAGAATATCGGTTAAATGTCTGTAAATATTGACACAATTATTTCAAAAAAAGACGCCAAAACTTTTAACTCACCAAGAAATTTAGTAATTAGCGGCGCCTCTGATTTATAACAATGCCTTTAACATTTATCTATTTACACAAGATTGGGCTTTATTATGTAAAGTACAAAACAAAACAACCATAACAAATTTTTTTGAAAATGTTGATAAACAAGGCAAATTACTTTTAAATTAGTATCTTTACTTTTCTGAGGACCTCATAATCAACTCTAACTTTATTTAACAATCTACAAAACTCGAGGAGGTGGTACTGGTCAGGGCGTATGACTTTTTATTCATGACTCAACCCATTTTCAAAAATAGAAAAAAATCTCAGCATCTGAAACGCGGTTTATGAATCATTAGCTATCAAATTATTATACCACGTCGTGATTTTATAGTTTGATTTTTGAACGCTAAAAGATTATTCATGAAATTTAAAACTTATTGATGAATATTAATTTTGTTAAGAATAGTACAAAAAAAATTTTATCAACTTGTTGCTCTCAAGTTTTGGGTAGAGGAGAGCAGCAAATGTTTTAGGGTTTTTTTTCCCTAAGCTCCAGTCATCTCAATTTTTTATAAAGCATCCTTAATTGACATAAGTATAAACATATAAAGGTTTGGAGTTTACTTTGTGTCTGAAAGTTAGTTATCTCAAAGACAAAAAAATGCTAAATCCGCCCCTGATGTAAACAGACAGCTTAGAGTAGTCGTCCACATGTAAATACTTGTGGCGACTATAATAAATGTAAATAAAAAAGTTCGAAAGGAAAAGAACAAAGTTAAGCTCTAAAATTAAGGAAAAAAACCATCAGTTTTTGAATTGACTTTTATTTGCGTAATTTTGTATCGCATATTAACGAATGCAAGTTATGTTTCAAAAAACTTATGAAAAAAGTCTTTAGATTTAAACAAAACGTTTTTAAGTAATCTAAAATTCAAGTTAAAAGATTTTAGACCAAACTAAAATTTATTCTAATTAGAGACTTTTATTTGCGGTAAGTGGTAAATAAAAGCAACTTTTAAGTTTAAAAAGCAATTCAAATATAAAAGAAATTTTGATGAGTTAAGGGTCGTCCATAAATTTATATTATTATATTGTATTGTATGCATTTTAATACATATTATTATTATTATTATTTTTACAGACTAATTTTTAATTTTTACACTATGTAGCACAATTTTTGCTCCTGGCTTCTAAGTGTTATATTTCAATTGCTTATGTTTAAAGTATGTGAAAAAAAGACTTCATTTAACACAAACTTTCCTTACACGACAACAACACAAAGAAAACTCGTTTTTTTGTGAAAATAGAACGATTTTCTTTCATTTTTGTCACTATGATCAGGTAAAAACAAAAATTGCACAAGGAATAGTCAAACGCAGTTGGAAATCACTTAACAAGGTTCAGAAATTGTTTTTAGGATTTTCTAGATTTACGATAGTAGTGCGAATTAATCTCTTATAGTAGCACCCAAATGTAGTCTCCCATACTGTTTTTGTTATAATGTATTTGGTAATGACGTTTAAAGTCCAATATATTTTGAAAGTGCTTGCCTTGCTACTCGGAGTAAGCAACCGTGTTCTCCTTGATTTTGTTTATATGTAAATCAAGGAAATGGACTTTCATAGACATTCTGCATCCGATTGTAATCTTCTTGATCCTTTGTCTGACAAATATACTTGCCCAGACCTTAGTCTTGGACAGCTTTGGAAAAAGATCATGGAGGTATTGAAATGCTGCTGATTCCTTGTCAAGTGCAGTGACAAATTGCTTAATGAGACCTAGCTTGATGTGCAGAAATGGCATGAGCACTTTTAGAGGTTCAACAAGCGGCTCTCACTTCACATTACTTTTTCCAACAGAAAAATTGGTTCGTTGTGGCCAGTTCGTTGTGCGATAATGCGTCTTAGTGTCACGGCTGTCCCAGAGACAGAAGAAACAAGAAAATTTTGTGAAATCTCTTTAGAGACCGATGAAGAATGATACCATTTTGAAGTTAACAATGACCTTTTCTCTGTAGTTGTCATACTTTAATAACTCAGCAACCTTTTGACACTAATGTAGTCCTCTTTGAGATGCACAGAGTCAGTTGTTTCAATTATGAAGCAACACAGCTTTGAGGTTCCAGGATGAACTGTCTATGTATAGACGCCATTCAATTGGATTATATGCAATATCTATTGCTTGGAATAGACCAGCAACATCAATGCAGAAGCACAGCCCATCTCGCTGACTGAAGAAGCTGGAGAATCTTTGATGCCGCCTCCTCTGATCCGTGACTTCTACGCCACCATCAACCAAGTTACACTGTTTGAGCCTGGATATCAGAAGTTTAGCATTCGATTTTTTAAGCCCGCGGTTCCAAACTAAAGTGATCACGCCTTTCTGGCGGTGTTGTAGTCCATATCTGCCTCGATATCTGACTTGCTGCTATGGCCAATGTTGCCTAGGAGGAGTTGGAACAAGTAGGTTGGGGCTGTGTGGTACTTGGGCGATGGAAAAAGGTATATTCGAATAAAAAATCTGAGGAGCATTTATGCAGGTGCGACAATTTTTTGGTTTTACCAAAGACAAGTAGCAGTTGCTTAAGTGGTCCATCGGCTCTCGCCAAATTCACGAAAAAGAAAACTTCATAGCTCGTTTCTCTCCTCTGTACCAAACTTTAACATAGAACATAATAACACACAAGAATTATTATTGTGTAGATTTATGATTTACATATTATATTTATTATTATATCTTAAACATTACGTTGTCTAAGCATAGCATTTCATAACATTTAATTTAAGCAGGGACATTACTTTTTTCTTATTTAGTTGCTTCTCGAGATTTTTTTAACTAGGAATTAAACAACATCTTTCATAAGTATCGCTAGTAAAAACGCTTATTTGATTAAAGGCTGCAATTGTTTCTTTTTAAATTAATAATTTCCTCTCATCTATCAAATGTTTATATTATTATTTTGAATTAAAAATATCTTTTACTTAAGACTAGAGTTTAAACATACTCTTTCATTTTCAACGACTAAATCTATTTCATTTTTAACCACCAATTGCTAAACATGCGCCAAACATCTTATTGGCCGAATGATTTAAATAAATTTTTAAGAACTGAAACATTTGTGAGCGTTTACCAGCATCGTCTGATACTACAGGCGATGCTAGTTACGTTATTTTACCATCCACTTTAAATTTTAAGATTTTCAATAAAGACTTGTTTAAATTTCTCTGTCATGTTTATTGTCCATTAAGTTATGCAAAATCCAAACAAAAACAGTTAGAATTTATTTTGTCGCAAAAAAAATGTCCAGTTTCTATAGATAGTGCTATAGAACTATATTTTTAACAAGACGTCTATCCTTCAGTTTTAATAGAAAAATCTTTATTTGATTGATTATAACTTCTACTTTACAGACTTAACTTTTTCTGATATAAATTAGTTAAAAGAGATTTGACCTCTTTTGGTAAGGTACTTTTTAGGGAAGACAGGGCTAGTTTTTTTTCTTTGAACTCTTTTACTTTTCAAGGCTTTTTTATTAAAAAAAAAAAGAAAGTGAAATAAGAATATGAATTCAGGTAACATTTCCATTTATGTTAATAAAAACTTGCTTGGGTACGTAAAAATAAAAAAAGTTTGGTACGTAAAAATAAAAATTTGCTAACTTGGCTCATTTTGCTAACTTAACACAACTTACTCCACCCAGAGTTACGGTTGGCGCAACTGTAATAATACGGCAGTACTTACGCCTGGCGCAATAACTGTAATAATAACGGCTGGCGCGAACTGTAATAATGATTATTAATATAATATTAAGTGTGTAATTTATAAATATATTTTTTACTTTTTACTAATTTATAAATATTTTTTTATGGCAATAACTTTAGACCAACGAAAATAGAGTATTATTTTAAACTGTTAGCAAATAATAGTTTGTATAATAAGTTAAAACAGTAGCAAACACTTCTTCTTGGTAAAATAATCATGTTTTTTTTTCGAGACTTCGGAAACGGGTAGAGAATGGGCACGGGTAGAGAATGGGCACAAAATCTTCTCCCTGTTAACATCAGGACAATGTTGTCTATTGTAGATATGTTGGCAGACATACTCTTAATTTAGTTAGTTAACAGTTTTCCATTAAAAAACAGATTTTGGAGTGAAAAAACAATTTTTGGTTTTTT